CGTACAGTTATGACAGTCAGCACGATAAATCTCTCTCTCCAAGATTATATATTCCCATTATAATACTTTAAGTTTAAAGAAGGAAGGAATTATCACAAACCGAAAGATTATTAGAAGCCTTTCTTTTTCTCATGATTTCTATCTTATATTCATGAATGTTTTTTGTAAGAATACAAATAGTTAACAGAATAAACATGTTTAACAATTATTTACTGAACCCTTAAATTAATCAATTATATAATGAAAGCCATAAAAACAAACAATTAATCGTGATAATCGCCAAAGCCCTAAAACAGATAATTAATCGCAACAACCGTGCCTATTTTTAGACAATTAATCATCAGCCAAATTTTATAATCGTGACAGCCCTAATAGTCTCATCACTCTACTTGCTTTTTTTTTTTTTATTGAAGACAATTGAAAAATGCTCTGGCTTCAAGATAAAATGCTTTGGTGGAGACATTGCCTTAAACAACCAATCAGTTCTCATTTTAGAGATCATATATAGAAGTTTAGCCTCTTTGGGAAAAAAATAATGTTTTCATCTCTGCCAGGTAACAAGCTGCCGTCTTCCCTGCCAACCCTGCTTGGGAACATGCAGGGAGAGGCTCTTTGTGGAGGTGAGAGCGAGATGGGCAGCGGGCCAACTTCTCAAGAGAGCAGCCGTGGGGAAGAGATGGTGATGTATTCTAGCGAGGACCAAGCCATGATGCAGGGCTGCTACAGCAAGATCGTAGACAAGCTGTCTTCCGCCAACCCCACCATGGTGCTGCAGGTATTACAGAAAGGACTTTACTGTTCTGTGTGTGTCTGATTGTATTAAAGGCCATTGTGTTTAAGAGTTGTTTTGTTGATCCTTGTGGGTGCAGGTGCAGATGTTGGTGGGCGAGCTGAGAAGGGTCACTCTGCTCTGGGACGAGCTCTGGCTGGGGGTCTTGCAGCAGCAACACATGCACGTTCTGCGCAGGATTCAACAGCTGGAGGACGAGGTGAAAAGAGTTCAGAACAACAACACTCTGCGCAAGTAAGTCACGACCCTGGGAATCAATATAGAAGGAGAAACTTCATTAGTGAGTGACTCATGCCTCTTGGAAAATCATTTAAATTCCCAATCTCTTGTGGTTTAGGGATGAGAAGGTGGCTATTATGAGAGAGAAGCATTCTGCTCTGATGAAGCCTGTGGTTTTTGCACTGGATCACGTGCGCAGCATCACTGCTGCTTCGGCAGAGACTCCTCATGAAGCGTGGTTTCAGGAGACATACGGAGAGACCATCCACAATGCTCTAGAGAGACTGAGGAACCCTCTTAATCCAGCCAATCCTGCCAGCAGCTGGGTGCCCTTCAAACAGGTAAAGGCAGCTGTGTGCATAAGTGTTCTGAGGAAATGCTGTTATGCATGCTGTGCATTTTACCTTTTTGTAATTCTACCTCATCCTTTCACAGATCATGCTGAGCTTGCAGCAGAGGGCACAGAAACGGGCCAGTTATCTCCTGCGGCTTGATGAGATCAGCCCCCGCCTGACTGCCATGACCAACTCAGAGATGGCGCTGCCAGGAGAGGTGTCTGCTACAGATGCAGTCACCATCCAGGGTGTAGGCAACACCATCACCATCCTGCCAACTAAAACCAAACCTAAGAAGCTCTACTTCCTAGGCTCTGATGGCAGAAACTATCCATACCTATTCAAAGGTATGAGATTTAAACGTGGCTAAAAGCATCACCAACATGAATTTCCATCATTTACTCACCCTCATGTTGTTCCAAACCCATAAGACTTTTGTTCATCTTTGAAACACAAATAAAGAGATTATTACCTAAGAGATTTCTGTCCCTCCTTTTAAAGTCCATTCCACGAAAACTAATAAAGACATTGTAATCCATATAAATTAAGCAGTTTAGTATTCTGAGCTTTATATGATGATGGTTTGGAACGATGTGAGGGTAATTAAATTACAGAATTTTCCCTTTAATACATGCCATTTGCTTATATAAGCATTTTCTTTGTTTTAGGATTGGAGGACTTGCATTTGGATGAGAGGATCATGCAGTTCTTGTCTATTGTCAACACCATGTTCACTAAAGTGAATCAACAGGAGAGTCCAAGGTTTCATGCCCGTCATTATTCGGTCACACCGCTGGGCACCAGATCAGGCCTTATCCAGTGGGTGGATGGAGCCACTCCACTTTTTGGCCTGTATAAACGCTGGCAGCAGCGTGAGGCTGTGGTCCAAGCCCAGAAGGTGAGTGAAAATGAGCATTTCTGAAAAATGTATATTCTTTTACGTAACATAACCAAGACCATAAAAATGTTATTTATTTTACTTTATAAAAAATATATATTTTTTTTTTTACTGCAGCCCTATTGACTGGCTTCACGTTCAGTGAAGGAAAATACTCTTATGATAATGCACCTGATTATTTATTGTAAACATTTGTTAAATGTAAAGAGATACATTTAAAAATTGACCAAATCTTGTACCTTTTCTTAAATGTAGGCACAGGACTCCTTCCAGCAACCTCAGAATCTTCCCATGGTTCCACGGCCCAGTGAGCTCTACTACAGTAAGATCAGTCCTGCCTTAAAGGCTGTCGGGCTTAGTTTAGATGTGTCGCGCCGTGACTGGCCGTTGAGTGTCATGAGAGACGTTCTCCGAGAGCTAATGGAGGCTACACCCCCTAACCTCTTGGCAAAGGAGCTCTGGTGCTCCTGTACCACCCCCAGTGAGTGGTGGAGCGTGACTCAGGTTAGAGGAACCACTGTTCACCTTGTCCTAACCATGTTCGGCACAATGTTAGGCTAAACGCATTGCACTATAATTAACCAATCTTGGGTGTCTCATTTAGTCTTATGCCAGATCCACTGCTGTAATGTCAATGGTGGGATACATCATTGGTTTGGGGGATCGTCACCTTGACAACGTGCTGATTGATATGACGACAGGCGAGGTGGTACACATTGACTACAATGTCTGTTTTGAGAAGGGTGAGTGCTTGTTCACTTGAGAATGAGGCCAAACATACTTTATTCACATAGACATTTAAATACTTCATTGTCCTAACAGGAAAAAGCTTGAGAGTACCAGAGAAGGTTCCTTTCCGTATGACACACAACATTGAGACCGCTTTGGGGGTCACAGGAGTGGAGGGCATCTTTAGACTGTCCTGTGAACAGGTAAGAATGGGAATAATGCATTTAATGTTTAGTTTAGAACATGCATACAAATTTGAATGGTGTCCTTTCCTTTCAGGTGATCCAGATAATGCGATGTGGAAGAGAGACCCTCTTGACTCTTTTGGAGGCATTTGTGTATGACCCCCTGGTGGATTGGACAGCAGGTGGTGAGGTGGGCTTTGCAGGGGCTGTGTACGGAGGAGGTGGTCAGCAAGCAGAGAACAAGCAGAGCAAGAGAGAAATGGAGCGAGACATCACACGCAGCCTCTTCTCCTCCCGTGTGGCTGAGATTAAGGTGAGAATTCTGTGCAAATAGTACAGAAATGTACATTGGCCACTTAAATGTGAGGTGTGTGTGTTTTTATGCTGATTTCATTTCATTTGCTGACTATAATAATTAATTGCCTGAACAATCCCACTTCATGACATGGTAAACAGGTAGTCCCTCCTCAAACTGTTGCCCCTGGTTGAGCCATGTTGCAATATCACATTTTTAGGGGAACCAAACTACTAATTGATTCATTTTAGTTGTTTCTACTTAAGCTTGTAAACACCATCAAAAAAATGACACTCAAACTGGTTTATATCATCACAAAATGTAAACCGTTATCGCAGAGCTAATATAAAGTTGAATGTATATTATATCCCACTTTGTCTGCATGTATACAGTACACTCAAGTTAAGCGATTTGTACTATATAGCAAATCTTAACTGCCTGATTTGTTTCATTACAAAATGTAACTATTATCACCCAGCTCTTTATATAAAGTTGGATATACATGTATGTCCAACTTTATTCACATAGTGGAGTGATGGAGTGATTATGTACTATATAGCAAATCTCAACTGCTTTGGTACTTGATTGTCGTAAAATCTAAACAGTATTATTGCCCAGCGCTAATCTGCTAAATGCCATTATAAGACATGAACATGTTAAGATATTATACACATTAACATTATGATTTTCTGTAAAGCTGCTTTGAAACAATGTATTGTGAAAAGCGCTACACAAATAAATTTGACCTGACTTGGTTTGCTAAACAAAATTTTTTTCTCGTTTCTCAGGTGAACTGGTTCAAGAATCGTGATGAGATGATTGGTGTGCTGCCGCAGGTGGAGGAGGAGGTTGATGAGTACCTAAACCTGCAGGAGCAGCTCACACAGGTGGAGAAAGTGCAGGGCAAGCTGCTGGAGGAGATGGAGTTCATGGAGGGAGCCGACACCAGAGCAGATCATCCCATCCACTCCCTGGAGCACAGGTCAGCAGATGAGACCACCAAAGTATTTTTTGGAAGGAATCATGTTCAGCTGGTCACGATTATTGCTTGATCATTAATCATTAGTGTAGATTTGATGGGACAGATTATAAATTCTCACTGTCAGTCTTTCTCCCATCCCTTTCCAGATACTCCGAGCACACTCAGTTGCAGTCCAGGCAGAGGACTGTACAGGATGCCATTCAGGGGAAGTTGTCAGATCTGGATCAGTGCATCTCTCAGTATCAAGCTGCCTTTTCCAATCTAGAGGCCACCCAGCTTGCCAGCCTCCTCCAGGAGATCAGCAGCCCTATTGATTTAGGTGCAGATGATTTCGTTTTTTTTTTTTCTTTTACAGAATATTAACTAAAGTTTGATGATAATCAGAAGGAGCACTTACAAATTTCTAATTTCTTCCTTTGGTCCTTGTAACCCGCAGGTCCACCCAGCTATGTGCCAGCAACATCTTTCTTGCAGAATGCAGGCCAGGCACATCTTATTAGCCAGTGTGAGGCACTGGAGGCAGATGTGAGCGCTCTGTTACAGCAGCGGCGCTCTCAGCTGCGTGGCTGTCTCGAGCACCTGCACAGCTATGCCACCGTGGCCTTGCTGTATCCCCGTGCGGTGCTGCTCAGGCACAGAGTTCACACGTGGACACAGTGGATGGAGGAGCTGGTTTGTGACATGACTGTCGATCACTGCCAGACTGTCTATCACCAGTAAGTGCAACTACTGTTTGTCTCTCAAGTTCACTACCAGTCAAAGATATGGTACAACCCTCTACGGACACCTTGGCAATTGAAACAATATAAAACGCACTAAGGATTAATGAGCTGCTGGATTCATGAATATTAATCAGGTTGTGTGCGTTCGCTCTAACTGACTTGCTGAAATCAAAACAGGGGCGATAATAGATGAGCGCCAGCCAATGAGATTGCCGTTTGCGCATTAGTTCTGCCCACTACCGAAGAAAGCGGCAGTTCTAAAAAGCTGAAGAATTCCAAAGGAATTTTGACAGGAAAATGCAACAAAGAATATCGTTTACATGTAGCGCGTCAATTCTCTCTCGCTCTCTCTCTCTCTGGGTGTGTGTGTGTGAGACAAAGCAACGGCGAGTCGTGCACTTTCACACTAGAGTTTACGGTACGCTAAATACAGGTGCGCTGCGCATCCATTCAGATGAACTGAAAAATATCACAGATCAGCTGACTGAGAGTGAAACTCTGAAGCGCTCAGTCAGAGTGTTCGGCGAGTGAAAATATATCTGTGCTAAACTTATACTTAGCCTCCAACTCACACACTGGCGAGTAAAATCTGAGAATTTATTAGCCATTGGCTAATATTAGACATCATTTAGTCGCCCGGAGTGAAGATTTAGTCGCATATGCGAGTGATTGAAGAGGGTTGTGGTAGATACGTTTTGGCTGCTTTTTCTTCAATAACTGGTTCAACTTCAAATAATAAAAAACGGTAAAATTTTATAATTACTCTACCGTTCAAAAGTTTGGTCTCGGTAAGATTTTTTAAAATGTTTTTAAAAAGTTTCACGCTCATTGTAATCCATTTTTAAATTTGTAATAACAAAGGTTTCCTTGACTTTTCCATGTCCTTTAATCAGATGTCATAAAAATCCTCTTTTCTTGTCAGGTATGAAATGCAGTTTGCACCCCACCCCCCTCCGTGGCTGTCTCGAGCACCTGCACAGCTATGCCACCGTGGCCTTGCTGTATCCCCGTGCGGTGCTGCTCAGGCACAGAGTTCACACGTGGACACAGTGGATGGAGGAGCTGGTTTGTGACATGACTGTCGATCACTGCCAGACTGTCTATCACCAGTAAGTGCAACTACTGTTTGTCTCTCAAGTTCACTACCAGTCAAAGATATGGTAAAACCCTCTACGGACACCTTGGCAATTGAATCGCCATTGGCTAGTACATTTTTTAGTTCACTCGCCAGACTGATATATATATATATAATACATTTTTGTAAAATGGCAGTTTTTTAAATATCTGAAAGTACACTCTTGACGTCAGTCAGTCAAGCATTATAATATTATGATCAAGTATTATTTAATAATAGAACTTTAGTCATTAGAATTAAAACTTGATAACCATGTATGAATGCATATTAGTCCTTTTAACTGAACTTAAGACTGGTGCTGGTGCTTTTTTGGTCATTCAGTGTTTCTGTAAAACAAAATTGGGAAAAAACTAACAAAAATACTGATAAGATAATGACATGAATTCTACTAATAAGAACAATATAAAACGCACTAAGGATTAATGAGCTGCTGGATTCATGAATATTAATCAGGTTGTGTGCGTTCGCTCTAACTGACTTGCTGAAATCAAAACAGGGGCGATAATAGATGAGCGCCAGCCAATGAGATTGCCGTTTGCGCATTAGTTCTGCCCACTACCGAAGAAAGCGGCAGTTCTAAAAAGCTGAAGAATTCCAAAGGAATTTTGACAGGAAAATGCAACAAAGAATATCGTTTACATGTAGCGCGTCAATTCTCTCTCGCTCTCTCTCTCTCTGTGTGTGTGTGTGTGAGACAAAGCAACGGCGAGTCGTGCACTTTCACACTAGAGTTTACGGTACGCTAAATACAGGTGCGCTGCGCATCCATTCAGATGAACTGAAAAATATCACAGATCAGCTGACGGAGAGTGAAACTCTGAAGCGCTCAGTCAGAGTGTTCGGCGAGTGAAAATATATCTGTGCTAAACTTATACTTAGCCTCCAACTCACACACTGGCGAGTAAAATCTGAGAATTTATTAGCCATTGGCTAATATTAGACATCATTTAGTCGCCCGGAGTGAAGATTTAGTCGCATATGCGAGTGATTGAAGAGGGTTGTGGTAGATACGTTTTGGCTGCTTTTTCTTCAATAACTGGTTCAACTTCAAATAATAAAAAACGGTAAAATTTTATAATTACTCTACCGTTCAAAAGTTTGGTCTCGGTAAGATTTTTTAAAATGTTTTTAAAAAGTTTCACGCTCATTGTAATCCATTTTTAAATTTGTAATAACAAAGGTTTCCTTGACTTTTCCATGTCCTTTAATCAGATGTCATAAAAATCCTCTTTTCTTGTCAGGTATGAAATGCAGTTTGCACCCCACCCCCCTCCTGCCACATGTCAGTTCCTGTCTAGCATCGAGATGGCGCTGCAGCACCACACAGCAGAAACCAACACTCGGCTGATGCGTCAGGTAGAGCGTCTGAAGGCAGAGGGCGCTGGTGTGCACGTTTGTGAGGAGCAGCTGCAGGAGATCGAGCGCTGTATCAAAGTCTTCCTGCACGAGGATGCTGAGCTCGGGTCCTTCAGTCTAGCCGGTATCATCGTCTCTGCCCTCTGTGCCCTCACCAGGTCTGAGTCTTTGGCTTAAAAAAAACTCATTTGTTGCCGATATAATTTTCTGGTCCTCCATACCCAAACCCTTTTTTTTTTTTTATCTTTGATCTTAAAGGATTAAAGAATTCAGTGTTTCTGTGCTTTGCAGGCGTAACCTGGTGATGGAGGGAGCTGCAGCCAGTGCCGGAGAGCAGCTGGTGGAGCTGACGTCTTGTGATGGTGCCTGGTTCCTGGAAGAGCTCTGCAGTATGAGTGGAAACATCACATGTCTTGTGCAACTTTTGCAGCAGTGCCAGCTTCTGTCACATGACCTGGATATCCTCAGTCTTGCCGAGACTTTGCAAGTTGTCTACCTGGCCAATGGTGTCTACACCTGCCTTCAGGTAATTTTGTTAGTGTTTAATGGTATTCAGTGGTTTCAGTGATGTTTTTCCCCCTCTCAAACATTTTTTTAATATTTGAAGGAGCTCAACACAAACTTCCGTCAGATCATCTTCCCAGAGGCTCTGCGCTGCATGCTGAAGGGAGAAAATACATTAGAGACCATGCTAGCGGAGCTCGACGCGCTTATCGATCAGTGCGCAGATGGGGTTTCTCTGCAGGGACTGGGGGAGGTTCTGCAAGCTCACCTTCGTAACACCGCCATGGGCCTGGAGGAGGATCCAGATGACCACTATCTGGATATCACCAGGTAACATGGACAATAGAAATATTTACTAAGCAGTGTGTGAAGAAGCGTGTTATTGTTTTTGGATGGACTTAAACTTTGTGTCATTGTTTTGTGTGTTGTTGTGTCAGGGTTTTACGGGCCCAGTACTCAGAACTGATCCAGCCACGCAGCATGGAGAGCTCTGTGCAGGAAACGCCCAAGATGAGTGCCGGTCAGATGTTGTTGGTAGCTTTTGATGGCATGTTTGCACAGCTGGAGACTGCTTTTGGACTTCTGATTGACAAGGTAAAAAATACTGATTTGTAAAATATATGGTAGTTTGTAATTCCTGTTTGGATAGAGGTGTAATATTGTCTAATATTTGACCACCTGAGTCTGATGTACAGTTGAGATGTTCTGTAAACCTAAACAATGTTTCAAAGAATACAGATGTGAGGGATGTTTTTTCCTCAGTCTGAGAAGTATACACATCAGTTAAATGCCATATGGAGTTTTGTTATGATAGTAATATCTTTCATTGATTTTAGTTTATATAAATGTGTATTTTTGTCTTTAATAGAATAAAACACATTTTCAATGTTTTTTGATGCTATTATTATTGTGTATTCATATTGAATGGATTCCATAAAAAAACAACAGATTGTGACAAACAATTGAAGTGGAGAAAGATAAAAAAAAAAAAGCATATGACTAGGGGGTGGTGAGGTTTTTCTTCTGTTTTTGTCCCTAGCTGAGATTTATTAGATTGGAGTGGTGTCTAAATGAATCCTGTTCTCCCCTCTAGCTGAACTCTATGGATGTGCCTGCTGCCTGGAGAAAGGTGGATGTGATTCGGGAGTCCAGAGCTACGCAGGTCCATTTCTTTGATAATGTGCAGACCAGGCAGGTCTTGGATGAGATTTTCTTCCTGAAGAGACTCCAGACCATCCGAGACTTCTTCCATTTGTGCGGATCATTTGCACAGACGCTATCTGGTAAACATCTAATAGATAATTTCTCAATATTAGGGATATTTCTCAATATTAGGAATGACACATGAATAAAGGAAGGAGTACAAAGTAGCACACAAGAGTAGCATGTCATTGTGCAGAATCAGGCTTTTTATTAGACAGCCTTCTCATTTTTTCTAATAGGAACGTGTCCTACACCCACTGATGAGCCTCTACCCTCTAATGGCCCAGTACCCATAGTGAAACCCATGTACCGAGGCTCCACTGTAGTGAGCGAGGACCAGATGATGCGGCCCATCAAAGCCTTCACGGCAGACTTTGTGAGGCAGATGCTAATGGGGCTCCCCACCCAGGCTCTGGGCCTAGCCATTTGCAGTGCTCTCAGTGCCCTCGGCATGGATCTCATAGCCCAGGTGGAGGCCAAGGACTTTGGCGCTGAGGGGAAAGTGTCTATGGATGACCTGTGCAAGAAAGCAGTAGAGCAAGGGGTGCAGGCAGGACGGATATCCCAGCTGCTGCTCAATAGGGCCACAGTGCTGGCCAGCTCCTACGACACAGCCTGGAAAAAACTGGACCTGGTACGACGTCTAGAAGTCAGCATTGAAGCTTGTAAGGTCAGCCTGCAGAGGACTCAGCTTCACATCACTATGTTCCAGGTAAGAACCGGTACTCCATTTACAAAAAAATACTACAGATTGCACAGGAATGACCCATGTAATTTTACAAAGCAGCAGTAAATGTGACCTTTACCTTCTGATCTCTGTTATTAGTGGCAGCATGAGGACATTCTCGGTGCAAGGACGCAGCCCATGACCGTCAGTCCCCCGCCTTGTTCCATCATCCTCAGCAACATGAAGAAGAAGCTCTACAAACTCAGTCAGGATGAAGCTTCTATTGGCAGCGTTCAGGTTAAAGCCATTGCACGTTTTGGAGAACATGTCAAAGTGAAATAGAAACCTTATCTAAACCGTGTTGGGTTTTGTGTTGCAGGAGAAGTTGGCAGGTCTAGAGGGCAGCATAGAGCAGAGGCTGAAGTGGGCCGGTGGTGCAAACCCTGCACTTGCCCCAGTGCTGCAGGACTTTGAGGCCACTATAGCAGAACGCCGTGCCCTGGTTTTGAAGGAGAGTCAGTGTGCCAACCAGGTTACTTTTCTCTGCAGCACTATTCTCAACTTCGAAGGTCTGCGTACCCGCACTCCAGAAGCCTTGAACATGGATGCCACACTTTTTGAACTTGTGAAACGATGCCAGGCCACCTGCTCATATGCTGCCCAGTTCAGCACCTCCGTTTCCTCTCTGGAACTTCAGCTGCTGCTTAGACTGGTGAGTCTTGCTGGATTTTCAAATTTATTTTTATCGGTATATACACAACCATTCAAAAGTTGGAGTCAGTAAGTCACCCCCCGCCCCCCCAAAGTCTCACTTTTTTTTAATGAAGTTTGATTAAAAAAAATAAAAATACAGTAAAAATAGTAATATTGTGAATATTGCAATAGTTTTAAAATGTATTCCTGTAATGGCAAAGCTGAATTTTCAGCTTTCACTTGTATGATTTAAAACAATTTATTTTAGTTTCTGGCTTTTTATTTTAAATGTATTTAGTCAGAAATAAACCTGATTACCTGTATATTCTGTCTACTTCTGAATTTGAAACCATTTCACCATAATCTGTTGTTGTGCTCTGTTTTTAATTGAAAAGCATTGGATTGTCTTTGCAGAGTCCTGCCATGGATCTGTCCATTGGTGGGCCTGAGTGGCTTGTGTACGCACAGAATCACCTCACCCAGGAGATGTCCAGTCAGAGAGCCATGCAGGAGGAAAGAGAGCAGCAGCTGGAGAGAGTGACCGAAACCCTGCAGCTGCTGGTAGACTCCATTAAAGGCATCCTGTCCAATCACAACCGCCAACTTGCTGATGTTAAGCACCTCCTGCGTGCCATGGCAAAGGTATTTAATTCTCTGATGCAAAATGGTTGACATGTTTCGTTTATTGGCCACCTCTAACTGCTGACAAAGTGGTTTTAAATGTTATAGAATATCTTTCTTTTGTGTACACACTGTTAGTTGCTTTTCAATTTGGCAGGATGAGGAAAATGCCCTTGCAGAGGGAGAGGAAGTGACTTATGAGGGCAGTGTGCGTCAGTTCCTGTCAGAATACAAGGCATGGCAGGATAATGTGCAGATAGTGCTTTTCACAGTAGTGCAAGCTACAGGTCAGCCACGTAGCCAGGAGCAGGTTGAGCTGCTGCAGGAGATCCCTGCCACCCTGAAGGAGCTAAAGGTTCAGAGCCAGAGGTTAGCATTTGTGCTGGATTCAGAACACAACTTGTAAGTCTTCAAGAGTTTTTTTTTTTTTTTTTTTTTGGTTAAACATTTTTTTTTATTTTTCTTTAGCTTCTACAAT